GGTAAAATTACAGTATTTGACTTAGGGGAGGGATGCAACTTTTGGTTAGAGTTATTAGGAGGTTCCAAAACTCAAGGGTTTGAGAAGTCAGGATTCCATGGTATGTAGTCATTAGTCAGTTTGTTTAGGCTAGCTGTAGACATTTCCGATTAGCTACGGTCTGATCTGAGGTAAAAGTTATTCAAAGTTATCAGGGACTTGTCATTCTGAGTTACTAGGGAATTAATCAGTAAGTAACAGCTGGTTAGGGGAAGGCTATTTTGTGAGCCTGCGAGCCCAAGCCTCGAGCTGTGAGCCGCGAGTCTGTTTTTGCGAGCCCTGAAAGGATCCTGCCAAAAAATCCAAAAATGGGCATAATGCCCTAATATGGTATTTATTACATGCGGGGTACCAATACCTGAAGAAAATGGATCAAACCAGGCCAACCAGGAGGAATTGGACTCTTACCATTTCTTATTCCTTTTCGGAATTCCCTACATAAGTGAAGAGAAGTAGGGCAGTGAACCGATTTGTCAAAAACAGAACGGCGATCCCGAACATTCTGATATACCAGTCAGAAAAAACCAAAATGGACCTTTCCATTTGACTTCTGACCAAAATTTCAGGAATCTTTGGCATAATGGTAAACACCTGCAGCCTTCATGTGTTGGTGCACTGTAGCATGGCAAGTGAGGTGATGGAGAGTTTTCCTCTCTTTTTTTAAAATTTCTACCAATTAAGCAGATATTATAGGACGGGCATTTTTCCCATCTTGCTTTTTGGTAGCTGCAAGCGAGGTAAATGGAAGTGTTGTGACAGCGTGACATTTCATAAGTTGACAACTAGGATCACGAGATTCGTAAACATCTGTAATCAGAGACACAAGTGATCTGTAAAATACACGTAGTTTTTTTTCGAGAGAACACAGAAAATAGGACGCGTTGTAACACCGGGGGAGAATTAAACAAGGATTTGTCGAGTACAAGTGAGGTGTATCCCACAAGTTTGGTACAGAGGTAAACTTTTGCTAATCTTTAATTAGTTTGTGAGGAGTTGTGATTTTTTTCAGCGCAGTAAATTGTACTGACTTTAACTGGGCCGGGCGGATGGGTTTTATCCCCAAACTTTTGAATCGCTCGAAATAAGTAGTCTTCACAGTCCTTGGCCTGGTTTCCCAGGAGTCAAAACCATGGACAACTGGGAGCCAAAAAAAAAATAAAATAAATTATGAATCTTTTGTGGCAGTGCTTCTTGATATATCATCCTTATAATTACCTAAAATTTGCCTCACTTGAACGTTTCTCTGTTTATATTTGGATGTTAGTCAATTTTACATAATCAACATTTTGATATGAAAATTTGTGAGGGAAACTCAAAGTTTTACTCATATCTGAAACTATAAACTGACCTTCAAAATCCGTTTTGATACAGACGGAAAAACTACTTGAGTGGAATTTCATGCACGAAAGAAAATGGAAAACTTTTGTTTCTTCTGCCAAGTGTAGCATTTACTGAGTAAAATGTTAACGTTAAATTAAAAACTCAA